ATCTTTGATTAACCTTTTGACATTTATTTAAGTAGTGTTTTATTGAAAGTGGATTCATGTACTCACAAGTTATTAGATAGTTATCTCCTAGGCAGAATGTTCTTACCTTTGGACATTTCATGTTTCTCACGGCGATCTCATTCTATTGATTTGTAGATCATATGGGGTCTGCTTAAATTAAAACGTGTCATATTTGGTACAATATATAATTGCACTTATCTAATTTGGTTATGACAGTTGTTTCACGACTGAGATCTTAGAGGGGTTTGATGTGCAAAGAACAAGAGGCTTAGCAGATACATTGAGGAAGTATGGTGTTCTTACCCAATCAATAAATCAATACTACAAATCTCTGGAACCCGAGCAAAAGTGCAATGGGGTTTGCCCTTCTTTTGATGAATTTATCAAAATGTGTGAAGAGCTGGACAAAATGACGGTTGGTGATGTGTTTGCCGTCCAACTCATGCAGGTATAAAATATATTCAGGACATATAATCTTTATACTTATGCAAGTTTATATGCACATTATGTCCTTCATGGATAGTTTACTTTTATGGTAATGTTGTTTGGTGAAATAAATGAACACTATACACAGCATGATGACAGACTGACAGTGTATTTGAGGAAAATGGTTGCATGACACTAGGTCATGTTATTTTTGTCATTTTGTTAGAAGCAAAAAATGATAATTTTCAAGTATTTTATGATTGAAGGTTCCACAAGTAACGGAGGAAATTGCCCTTGCTGTTCTAGATATGTATCCAACATTGCTTTCTCTTGCTCGCGCTTATTCTCTTCTGGTAAGTCCTCTCTTTATTTTTACCATAAATCCAAGTTAATGATCTGCAATATCATTCCACATTTGGTCTATTTTAATTTAGTAGTAGCATCAATACATCTATCTTTGTTGAATATGCTGGTTTTCTTTCCTTTTTACGTTCTTCTGTACCACTAGTCTTAAGATCTTGAGTTCAGCTAGCATATTATGTTTATTAGTGTTTTGGATTAAGTCAAAGCTGTGTACATGAAACATTATGGTGTAATTATTACTTATCAAAATTAGTTTGTGTTTCCTAGTTTGTAGGCATTGCGAAAGAGAATTTCTGAGTAGCTGAATTTTATAGGTAGCTTGTCAAACATAGCTAAGATGTAAGATGCTCATCAGCTCATGTACAGTCAGGTTGTTGACTTATGCCCTTCGAGCAGATGGAATAAAGTGAAAGTTTGTAATTAAATATCATCCTAAAATTTCTACATCTATGGGACATCTTCCTCCAGTTGACTCACCTATGTGATGTATAGTTGGATGTGCTTTCTGTTCTTATGATACCAATGAACGAGTTAGATACTTATGGATGTCCGGAGCTAAAATCTCTAAATGGAAAGTCTTACGTTGACTGGACAAAGTTTTATTGGAAATGGTGTCTGGGTAGTCAATCCTTTGTTCCTGTATTTAGCCTAAATGTGACATGCTACACAAAATACTGATCTTATTTAACGTGTAAGATATTTTGCCGATGGGTCATTGAATGTTTGATCTACATAACTAAATCATCTCTGAAATTGACGTACAGCACATAGATTACTTGCGGAGAAAACATGTATAGTTTTAGATGGGTGATGTGTAATTCTTCTTAAAACCCAAAAGTTACATGTATCTAACTCAATTTTTTGATTGGTTTTTTCATTCCACCTTTTTGTCCAGGATGGTGATGTTTGTGCACAAGAGGAAATGCTTAAGAGGCAGAGTAACAACTTAATCAGTGGGCCCGCAAGCAAAAATATTTTCCAACTTGTGTGGGATGGTTGAAGCTGTTTTTGCGTATTAGTGACATCAATCTACAACTATCTTAATCATGCAAAAGACGAGGCATTGCATGCTGCTTTCATCATCTTATCTGCACGGTAAGGAAAGATGTAAATAAGTTATTCTGATAGAACTGAGATTGTAGGTTTCTTTATTGGGTGGTGCACGGAAACTTTTCTCCTTACTGGGTTACAAGAAAGCTTTCTAACTTCCTTCACCTGCAACTTATTTGTATTGCTCTCAATTTCTTGCAAGTAGTTCACTGTCAGTGTCTTTCATTTCTTTTCTAGTCAACTTGAATTGTTATATTAGCCTGTGTATGTGAGTGTGGAGTAACTTGGATATGGTTTTGGACTTTTGGGCATTATGATTTGGAACGCTAATCTTGGTTCAGTTTGTCGGAATATGTTTATGTTTTAATTTTGAAGATTGCTTTTTGTTAAGCTTATTCTTGAATATTTGATTNTTTTATCATTCAAAAATGACATGCCAATCTCTTATCTTGAAGAATTACTTCCACCTTTTCCCAACCAACTGCAATCCTTTTCCCTTGCCATTTCCTGATTGCTAGAAGGATATCTTCCCTTGAAGTTTTGTTTGAACTCTGGACTCCATCTGACCACCTCCCTGTTTTTCACAACTGCCTTCCCTTGAACAAGCAACACCCAAGGTATTGAGTTTGTAGCACTGGTCACAGTATCCTGTTGCCTTACTCCCTGACTCACACCTGCACCACACAAATTGCTAGTCTATTGAGTATTCTGTCTGCTTTTCTTGTTCCTCTCCTCAGATGCCTCAAACTCTAGATCCACTAACATCTGCTCATTGATACCCTCTTTCTTAGAAATGCCAATTGCTTTGAGTCCTCATAGCTACCATAACAACTAGTGGAAAACCCGATCTTGTTCTTGCAATTGCTTGCTTTATCATTCTTACAAAGATCCTCCCACCATTCCTGAAAAGAAAGTTGGTTGTGTTGGAGTTTCTCCCAAGTAATTCTAAGTATCTTCCATACTCTTCGCTCTTTCACACCTAAAATACAGGTGTTTCAGGTCTTCTACCTCTTTCCCACACCAACATAAATATCATCCCCCTCTAACCCTTTCTGCTTCAGTCTTGCTTTAGTGCCAATAAAATTGTCCTTTGCCCCCAATGACTGATATGTATATTTAAGGTATTCTCAACATCTCTAGGGGTAAAGGTCTGCAAAATGAGCTCCTTATCCTATTGTTTACCACCTGCAACCAAAAGATTAGAGACTCTACACAAAGACATCCTATCCTCCTCAGAAGTACAAGCTGGTTTAAAATCTGGGAATTTGGAATCTGAGGTGAATTCCAATTTCCCGAGAATGATAATTGTTATATCTGTTTATTAGATTGAATAACTGTGTAATTTCCCACTAAGCTGTTGAAGCTTACCCCTTCATATAATAAATTTCAGGTTGATGAGTAGGTGTCGGTCACGGGAGCTGCATAGTGGTCATATTTATTATAATTGACATTGTTATGAACTATTGGATGTTTTGATGATAACTTGGGATTTTGTTTAGACTTCAGGATTTTGGATATTTCGTACCTCCTACCTCGGAATGATTTTAGTTGTTGGCTTGATTTACGATTTGAGGATTATGACTTATTATGACTTGATTTGAGAACTTGAGAAGTTTATTGAAAGTATGAATTTATTAAGTTTACAGTTACTAAGTTTAAAGTTTTGGTAGTGCCGAATTCTAAATAAAGTTTTTATAATTCGAAATATCTGGTTAAAATCTTAGAATTTCAAATTTAAGATTAGACGGCGCTACAGAGTGTTTCTGAGAATACGCAAGAAAAAGGTCCCACAAGGCTGACCCCTGACCAACTAGGAACCCTCAAATCCACACTTCCTCCACATGCTATTTTAGTTTATCCACTAATAAACAAATATTTAGTACACACTAAGAGGCACTAACCGACCTTGGACCCTATGATATATAGTAATGGATTATTAATTTCATATACTTATGTATGTAAATTATGTAATTATGAATTGCACACTTCTGACTTGCATTTTTCTAATTGTGGTTCATGTATATCTAATGTAGGTCATTGGAAATATTATGATATTCTCCAATCCCTGGGTAGGGTTAAGGGTTGGTACTCTAGCTCCTCTTAATTTTTGTCCCTCTTTGTCTTTTGCAAAATTTAATTTCATTTATCATTTGAGAGTCACTGTCCTAAACTGCCCTTGGTATTATCATCTTGAGAAGGAAATAAAAAATAAAATAACTAAGAGATTGTGTCCTTTTACATTGATTAAATATGTATATTCACATGATTAGTCGGCTTGAGTTTGAATGGATTAGCAAAACCCTAAGAACACCCAACAACAACTTTTATTTTGGAATGCAGTAACAAAAAGCAATGCTTTCATTAATGTACTCATTACTTATATCAGTATTAGTTGAATTCGAAGGAATTTCGTGGAGACAAAAATCTCCATTTTCTGGTTATGTTTCTTAGCTCAAAAAAATCTAATTTTGCATGATGAACATGGATCATATATATACGTTTACATACAAACATATTGATCCTAAACGGCGTCGTTCAATATTAAGTAAAACAACACTGTTAGCACTTAAACCAAACAACAGAATACGCAAACGTCTACACGACTTAAGCTAAGAAAACAAGTAACAAAATAACGACCGAGATAGTGGAATTGAGTTAAATTTGAATTATATTTTAAGTGTGGAATAAGCTATTTTATAAACAAACACTGCTTTAGTCCTTTGAGCTTTTAGATCAATATTCAAGAAAATTCAACCAGCTGTTTGCTCGAATCAGTGAAAAATTTGAGGGGAGGAATTTTGGTGTTACACTTACAGAAGGTTTTTT